AAATATCATGAAATTAATTATTTTTTCAATATTATTTTCAAGTGTATCGGGTCAAAAATGAATCATATGTGGTTTTATAAAAGGGAAAAAGGACAAATATATCCCCAAATTATCGTAAATAGTATACAGATATCCTCTGTCATACTTTTGGGACATTGGTGCCCCTGCCGTCCAAAATCTAGAGCATATATACCCTTTATATTAACGGACATACACGTGTCATAATCTTATCCACCGATTAAATATCGGATCAACGGATAAGATTGCGCCACGTGTCCCTATTTAGTCTTCCGTTAGAGTGAAGGGCATATATGCTCTAGTTTTTGGACGGCAGGGGCATCAATGTCCCAAAAGTATGACGGAGGGTATCTGCATACCATTTACGATAGTTCAGGGGTATAATTGTCTTTTTTCCCGAAAAAAATTATATGTCAATACATATAACTTAAACTCGAAGAAAAAAAATGAGAAAAAGAGACCTATGATGAATGGTGAAGCCTTCCATCCTCCAGTAGTTCCTTTGTCTGCAATATTCCCTTTATAATCAACACAACCATTGCTCACCAAAGTTTCTGCTACCTGCCAATATATCCCACCATGTTAATTTAAAATTAATAAGAAAAAATTAAAAAAAAAAAATTAATGGTAAACTTATGTAGTAACATATATAATATGAAATAACAATTTGCTAGCTTAATTATATTATTAATTACCTTCTTGTCATTCTTAATCAAATCAATAAATCCATCGAAAGATGGTTGAACATATGATAATTTATCATCCAGATCGTCAACGTGAATGCTTCTATCCATAGTGAAACTACAAAGGCCTACCGTACTTCTTTCTCAAATACTGTAACACTCGATTTATCACTATTTCAATTCAAAAGATAACAAAGATAATTCTAATATATTTTTTTCGCTTTTCGCAACCGTAACCACTTGAGTTGAACTTAAAAAACAAGATAGGTCACATTAATGTGGTATATCTTAAGTTCTATATATAATACAAAGGTAAAATAGAATTTTATTATTTTTTATATCGATTTGCTTTAAATTCGGGCCGGTAGATTAATTAATTTTTTAAAACATTTCTTTTTAGAATTTTATATCCTCAAAAGTCTTGATAACCAAAAGGCTAGAAAACAGCAACAAAGCGTATTTTTATTGCCAATTTTGGCTATATACACATTTCATAAATTAATTTGGTCAAACACATGATAATATAAGAGAATTTTTCAAAAATATGCGGGAGAAGTTAGAATTAGAAATTTGGAAAGCATTTTCACGGCCCTTTCTTACAATTGAGCCGTCAATCAATTTTATTAGGGGTTCAAAAGTTAATATACACATATATCCGAACCCATGCTTAGCTCCGCCCCTGAGCTCAACAAAAAATATTTTGTGGGGGGGGGGGGGGGGGGGCGGATG